TTAAGGGTTAATCCCTACCAAAAAATTTAAAATAAGCGAAAATGTCTTGGGCACGGCAAAATGACAGCTTAAAGAGAAGACATACCATTTAATGGATAACCAAACTTTGTTACGCACAAACAAAAAAGACGCAAGTAATATTACACAACGTTGCGATCATTTCTAAATTTATCGAGCTTAACTAAGACATCAAAAATCATATAGGTAAAAAGTCATCATATAAATAAAAGGACAACTCGGAAGCTGATTGGTCAGTTGTGGGAAATAAATTATTTGACTCCTCGAGAAAAATAAAAATACCATATATTTGTTCAAGAAGAATACTTTGCTATCTAGTTAAATACCTCCACGATTTTTTTCACTCTAAACATGTGCAATTCAAGTGTATCGCAAGTCAACTTCAATGCCGGAATAGGAATGAAATAACATCAGATATATAACATTTTTATTTTAATGTTCTGACATAGCTCATTGTCTCGTCATCCAGCTCCACTATCCAATCTTTGACCTTAATTCCACCCATCACAACATCAAACGAGTTGATGTGCAAATTGGCTTGATGGCTTATCATCAACAATCTCTGACTCGTGACTATCACATGCACTTTCATATCGTACACCTTTCCCTTACCACCACCCACAAATTGTTCATTGCAAACTTTGAGATGCCTTTGAGCACCACTATCAATCGGCTGCATGTCTTTATTTTTGTAGATATCAAATAGAAAGTACGCCTGGCACAAGTCTAAATTATACTTTTCTAACTTGTATCGTGGATACTGGATGCGTCGCAGCTCTGCCCCATTCATATTGGTCTTGATGTTATCGCTGATGTTCGCTGCGAACTCAGATATTCCTGCAATAGGCTTCATCAGTGCGCCCTTCAATCCACTTCCTACTCCCTTTAGAAATCCCTTGACTCCTTTCTTAGCACCCTTCACCGGCTTGGTGATGATTCCGCTCAGCCCATCAACAACGTTTTCAATCAAGTCCTTCGTCACGTCTATTTCCAGTTCGTCATAGAACAGCAGCCGCTTGTTGGACGACGATCGACTGATCGATCTACCCACTTTACCTACGGTGCTTGTCAAACCACTGATGCAATACGTCACAAAATTCTTACCTCCTTTCAAGATACCTTTGGTAAACATGAAAAGATCATCGTGCTTCAGACCAACATATGGCTCATAGAAAAGATCGTGGACACCAAGACTCAGCTCTTCCACCAGCGATGAGAGGTTCCCGAGCAGATCCAACCCACCGATCAGATTGAATATCTGCGAGAGCATCTGCATTTTGTAGGCGTTGATGAGAAGGTCATTATTGTATTCGAATTGTGAAAAGATAAGGGTGGTGAACGAGAGCCTCACCTCACTGAGATTGGAAACAAGAAATCCAATCAGTTTGTGTATAAAATGCTTTTTTTTCGACATCAGCAGATTTAGCCTCAGGTTGATAGGATGTATGTGCAGCAGCGTACAGAATAGCGCCGTGTCTCCTTTTCCCTTTGGCAGCCACATGAACAGTCTTGTCAAGACTTCCTCCTCAATACTAAGCTCGAATTCGTGCACGGCAAATATTATGTAGTTGAAAGACAACGTCCTGCTATCAGGCGTACGCTCGTCTCTGTGAAAAAGATTGCCGTTAATTTCACACTTGTATATCATGAAATGCCCATCATCAGCACTGGCTGTGTTGTTGTAGTAATAGAACATGGGATAGACAGGACTCAAAATTATGGGGAATGCCGGAGAATGGCATTGGTTATCGATCTGCATCCCCCGTATTGAAACAGCATACGTAAAAAGATTCTTAAGCGTGTCAATCTGCTTGACTGCCTCCAGGTCCCTCAAGTATAGATTCACAAATTCGCAGTTGTTTTCAAACAACGATATCGTTAGCGAGTTAATAAGAATAACAAATACATCCTCGAAATGCACATTGGTGGGCGTTGCTCCCAAATAAATGTATTCCTTGGCACCACGGTTTATACTTGCCACTTTAAAATTGTCTGCACACACCGTCCGTCCGTATTTTCTCTTCAGCTTGATAAGCTTGCCCTCCATGTTTGCTTCAAAATCGATCTTCAGTTCCTTATAATTGTCATACACGTAATCAAGTTTGTCACCTGGGTTGAGGAAGTACTTCTTATTCACACACACCACCGTTTCGGTGTTGTTGTGGATCTCTATGGGCGCATCACTTGCTTCGAGCCGCATTATTTTTTGCTTCTCGCGTATTTTGGTGATTATTGTGTAAAAGCTATCTCTGATCCTGAAATATGGACACACAATCATATTTATGTGCATGTCGTTGATCTTTAGCACGTTCTTCTTGTGCATTTCAATCGGTTTGTGCTCGTTGTTGGCAAAGAAAGTGTCATTCACCATCAACCCTGTCCCTGTCTTGTTCTCAACCTCTAATTCTACCATCTCAACAACTTTCTGTTCAAACTGTACCTCATGCGGACTGGCCACGTTGTCCTGGTCGACAATTTCTAGCTTTGAACCGACATCTATCGTTTCATTTCTTGTTTCCATCGACAGCAGATACTTGTGCTCAAGCTCTTTGAGGATGTTAAGTACATTGAAATCAAAAACTCGTAGCTTGTTGTTGATCAGAACGGTTCCTCGTGTTATGTCCCGCTCCGTAACACCCTTCGAAAGGCGCTCATCATCGATGTAGATCTTCTCATCAATCGAATTCATTACTGTGAAGCGGAAATTAGGAACATATAGATTAAATACCCTAAAAATGTTCCTTAGTATCCTGATGCTCAGTTTCTTGCGTGTCAACAGGATGGACGAGTGTTCTGCAGGCGATTTGTGTGAAATAATAAAGTCGTGCTTTATCCGTTCATCCGCCGCTTGCATCTGTGTGCATTGGTTTTTGCTAAGAAATGCGTTGCTGACTGACATAAAGTCGTCGATGGGACTCTTGATACCAATTCTGTCTTTGAATCTCCAGCAATCGGCCGCT